GGGGTTGTGAGCGGAGCCGCTCTAGGAGCCGCTTTGGAGCTGCTGTTGATATCAGTAGTCATTCCCGTAACTCTGAAACTGTCCCGTTTCAGCTCAGACCTCGACCGTTTGAGATCAACTCTCCGCCTCATCCAACCCATCATCCTCGAACATGATGAGTTGGTCACTCGAGCAGAGAATATGGTGCATAGGTGTTCCCAGTTGAAATGGTGGAGATTTTTTATGAGACTATACTACTCGGTGAAGCTGATCCAGCTGGAAGCTGAGCTGCTTATCCTCTTGCAGGTGAATGTTGTGGCCCTTAGTGTTAGGGTTTCGGCTACGGTGAGCCAGTTGGAGGAGAAAGTTGATGAGGCCATTGGGATAATATTCAAATTGTATGCAGTTGCCAATTGTGATGGGGATATAGTTCGTGATTGCGGCTCATCCGTGTCTCCCGATTCTACTTAATTAAAGGGCTTTTGATTTAATGTCCTCATGATGAATTAGATTATTATTATTATTGTTGTTATAATTATTATTATTATTATTTTTATATGTTTCATTATGCATGCGTCTTTCGTCTCAAGTGAAGCGAGTTCGATGTAGTTTTATTTATTAAAGTAAATCATTTTGTACTAATAAAAGTAACAATTTCGCCCCATAACTTTGTTGACTTGTGTTGACGCGTGTGCGTAAATTTAATTAAAGGGCTTTTGATTTAATGTCCTCATGGTGAATTAGATTATTATTATTATTGTTGTTGTTGTTATAATTATTATTATTTTTATATGTTTCATTATGCATGCGTCTTTCGTCTCAAGTGAAGCGAGTTCGATGTAGTTTTATTTATTAAAGTAAATCATTGTACTAATTAAAGTAACAATTTCGCCCAATAACTTTGTTGACTTGTGTTGACGCGTGTGTGTAAATTTAATTGCCATTGTACACATAGAAAGATGAAAAAATGAGATCCAAACAGAGAAAATTAGTTGGAACGAATATCTCAAATAAATGATGAAGAAGAAGAAGAACGATTGAGGAGCGGGAGACCGTGTTCGGGAAGAGGCGGTTAGTTTCAATGGAAATTTTGTTATTCCATCAAACCAACACACATTTCTTAGCTCACGTACTTATCCTCTAAGCTCATGCAACCTGAACTAAACAATACCATTTCATTACACACAAAATGACATTGTTTTAACACTAATAGAACCACTACTTAAGAAGGCGCAAGGCTAAAAACGTGAGAAACATAAAGGTGTCTCTTGTGCTTTGCATGAATAACAACTCTGCTCACATGCAAATTTATTAAAATCGATCGAAGCATCGACTTTCCCAACAACTGATTTTAAATTTAAACACAATTTATTTCACAAGAAAACAAAAATAATTATATTAATCACATTGTTTTCATCATTTGGGTCGAGCACAAAAAGTAAACCGACATCATATTGGCAAGTGCAACTCCATCTCATCAATCATTCAGCAACCAGATTCTATCTTTCAGTTACATTACCTTGCACCCAAGGTTACTCACTACAACACGTTATACAACATTTTAACATGAATAAAGATCAGTTTCCCTCCCTAAAAAAAGCGNAAAAAAGCTTAGTTGTTATCTAGCCGAAGGGAATAAGGATCCGTTAGAAAGGTCGGGACTTTGGATGTCGAGAAAGCTAGTGAGGAGTGTTTTTCTCGAGGATTGTGCTTTTGATGAAGCTAATTTATCCTTTCCTTTCTCAATATTGGCAGCATCTTGTATGGCCAATATGATTTCTTGCATGCGTGGCCGGGAAAGGCTGTGTTGGTCCACACACTGTATGGCAACTTCGGCTATTCTCCAAACAGACTCAACTTTGAGTGTCCCCAAAAGTGGTGGGTCAATTATGCTCAACACGTCCCCTTTGCGGATCAATGACCTGGCCTGTACACAACAACAGAAAGTTAAGTGCCAACTACAAGTTCTGTAGTTCCATTAATTGATTTGTTTTACTCAATTTTTGTATACAAGATTTGGTCCTAATAAGATACTGAACAAGTACGAACTAATTGACTATGGTTTATACTATGTTAGTGTATCTTATTCGTTCTTTAATTATTTATTTATTTTTTCGAGGTTGTTAGTTTCACTTTATTTTTTTATTCCTTTTACTAAGTCAACCAGCAGCATCTTGAGATAGGTATGTACTTTGGAATTGGTTTTATATTAATTTAATAATAATATCTGAAGCTCAAACTAATAATGTGTGACCACCTTATTTTTGTGCTTTATTTTCTCTATTATCCTCAAACTAATAAGCTCAAAATTTAAATGGTTGTGATAGATCTAAAAGTGTGCATACCCAGTGAACAATGCTCCAATCAGAACCATATTCCTCTGTTGACACAGGCTTTCTCCCTGATATAAGCTCCAGCAGAACAATTCCAACGCTGTACACATCACTTTTCTCTGTCAACTGCTGATTTGCATAATACCTGGTTGGACAACACGGCCAGTGGTATAAAAATAAATAAATAAATAAAAAACACGGTCAGTGGTATCTACGCTTGAAGTACTTATGTGTTTATCATTATGTTGTTTGTGTGTGTGTGTGCATGCTTACTCTGGATCAAGATAGCCCACTGTTCCTCTGGCCACGCTTGATACATGCGTAAGGTCTTCTTCGGCCTGCCTCGACAGTCCAAAATCTGAGACCTTTGCTCTCATGTTTATATCTAGAAGAATGTTGCTTGTTTTCACGTCTCGGTGAATTATACTGGGGTTGCATCCAGTATGCAAGTACTCAAGACCTGTAATTATTATTATTATTATTATTATTATTATTATTAAGAATTAATGTGAAAAGCAGAGGCAAAACAAGATGGTGCTACCTTTAGCTGCATCTTCTGCAATCCTAAGACGTGCTAGCCAGTCTAACTGCTTCTCGTTGTCAGGATCTGTAAACAAGTTATTGGTGGTAGGTTCTTATTGTTATATATCCATCATAATCATAGAAGTAAAGTTGATGAGCAAAGAGTGATGAATTATGGCAAACCATGTATATGATCGTGTAAGGTCCCATTGTGCATGTACTCGTACACAAGCATGCGCTGCTGCATTTCCTCACAGAATCCAATCAGCGGGACCAAATTCCTGTGGTGGATTCTTGATAACAGCGCCACCTGTAAAGTGTACCAATTATTATCTGGTTTAACAGTTGATGTGTAAATTCTTTTAATGTTATCTTCTTTCTACCTCTGTGACAAACTGTTTGGTCCCGTGACTAGACGAATCAGCCATGGTTTTAACAGCAACTTCTTTTCCATCTTTCATTTTCCCATAATATACTGGTCCGAAACTTCCTTTTCCAATTTGCTTTGAGAAATTATTCGTAGCTTCTTCTAAGTCAGCCAGTGGAATGTAGTATGATACACCTTCTTCCATTAAAGATCCTCCCCGTGCAACTGAATATGCGGTCAAAGGCTGAGTGCTGAAACGCCATGAATTTTCTGGTCAAGCAAAAGAAAACTTGAGATCGTCAGGATCACCTTTGAGAAAAAAAAAAATAATAAATATATATATATATATATATATAAGATCAATCTGTGTGGACACAAAAGACCTTTGCTATTCCTCTGGGAAGTTGTCTTTGCTTTAGAACGACGAAGCACAATTATGATTATAGTGGATAGAATAAGAAGAGCCAGAAAACCAATTGAAGCCCCAAGTATTAATTTGGTGGTGTGTGTTTTTGTCACTCGTCTAAGACGAGGATTTCCTTCATATCTGCATAAGACAGTCCACATTGATTATGTTATGGCTGATTCTAATAAGTATCTTTTATTCGAAGTATTAATTCTTAGTTTAACGTTAATTTATCAGTGACCTTTTTATTGTTTGATATCATCAGGTATTTGNTTTATTTATGTTTTAGAGGGACCTGATATTTCTCTTTTCATCATAAGCAGCAGTCACCTGAAAGATAAGTTTCCTCTTAACAACGATGATGGAATTTCCGAACTCAAAGAGTTGTTCTGTACGTACCTGTAAGAATAAATACGAAGCAAATGCAGATTGCAGTGGCTCAAATATACGAGACATCAATGAAAAAGATTATTCGGATTGCTACTTACACTTCCAGCAAGTACGGCAAGTTACCCAAGTACGAAGGCAATGGGCCAGTTAATTGGTTATTCTCTAGATGCCTGCACGTCTCAATCAACATGAAGCTAAAAAAAATGAGATATATAATAGCTTGTTTTAGAAAATAAAAGCACTTGGGAATGTAGAGCTTACAATATTTTCAAATTAACAAGGCCACTTATGTCAGGAATTGGCCCATTGAGCAAGTTCCCATCTAGCCACCTAGAGAAGTTCAACAAAACTGATAAAATTAGCCACAAGGAGAACTCAAAAAGAAAAATTTACAGGCACTCTTACAATTCTGTCAATGCGTCCATGTACTGAAGCTCTTGTGGGATTTCGCCGTTCAAGTTCTTGCCCGTCAGATGACTGTTTTCAAAGGAGTCAGCCATTAATTACACGTGTTTGAAAGAGAAGATAGAATTAGAAATGAAACTCTGTGCTTCTATAAATTCCTCAAGTCACGTACCACCTCAACAACACAGGATCACTAAATTACGAAACAGTAATCGCAATTTGTGTAATTTACAATTACATTTATGCTTATTCATATAGCTGTCAACTATCATATCTCTGCATATTAAGATAAGTGTTCATAGGAACTTGCATTTTGGTAATCCTTGGTGGTGTACTAGAGCTGCAAACCACCCAATCCCAGCTGGTAGGAGAACACGGGTCACCACCTTCCTCCGTCCATTCACTTTCCAAAGAATGCATAGAACGCAGTGCATTAAGGGCCATCACTTAAAAGAACAAAAGCACAAAATCAATCAAAATAAACAAATAATTCCACGTAGAAGAAGAAGAAGAAGAAGAAAGTCTGGATATTATAATCGATTAATCCTACCATCTTTGTCATATGTCTTGGCGGCAATCTCCACGTACCTGCTAATCTCCATGGCGTTGAGTATCGGGCCTCGTGTGGAGTCTGGCGTCTTGACAAATGCAAAAGACAGGACAAAATCGAGGGTCACATTCATGTAACTGGGCTCGTACAGCGTGTAGCTCCCGTTCGCATTCTCGGCCACATTCACAACTGCATTGCTGTAATCGGGCATATATGGCTGCACCATCTTGAACTTCCTCGTCTCATTCTCCCCCAAATCCTCAATCTCCGCAAAATAGGCATACCCGCGCGCACACGCCGGAAAATCCTCCAGATTCAGCCTGTAGGTCAAGCTGCCCTCTCTGCCCACGACAGCTGTCTGCATAACTTTGGCCGGAGGATACTCTCTCGTGTTCACATTTACAATCCGGCTCGTATTCACCCTCACAGTGCCCGGAGCAACTCCGACCAGAAAATTGGGGCGCCGGTCAAGATCAGATCCCCAAATTCGGTCATACGGGTCGTCCGGGTACCTTATAGCCTCTGGGGTCGGGGCCCCGAAATTGACCCGCTCCGCCACTTTCAGATAGAAACGATCTTCGAAATCGGTGGCGTACATAGAGAGATTGAGAGGCCGCATCTCGAGAGTAGATATGAAAGGGGATCCGGTGGAAGCGCAGCACAAGCAGACGTCGATGGAAGCCGAGGGGGCCCGCACGATCATCTCCTTTGAGTATACTCTGGAAGCTTCCATCACGGTGACGGTGGACCACCTGGTGGCGTCAAGGTACAGCTGGAACTTGGGGTACGCGCCGCCCGTGGCCGAGCCGCCGTACAGGAACGTGGCGCGCACGATGTACCGCCGGCGTTCCTCGGTCGGCAGCCTGTAGCAGTATTTCCCGGCGTCCGTCGGGAAATCGCGCCGCGTTTGGTACTGTTGCGGTTTTCCGGAGGTGTTGTTGCCGAGCGATACCGCCTTTCCATGGCCTTGGATTCCCGAATCGGAAACCCATGGCAAGCCGGTGGATATGTCGGTGTGGTTGTTCGTGCCTCCACAGTCTATGCTGATGAATTCTGCATGTATGAAATTGATTTTGTTGTTGTAAATTCATTTTCAATATTTTTTTATTTTTTTTTTTGTAATTAATGGTTGAATGTTTTGAAGGTGACATGTACTCACCTGTAACTTGGCTGTAAATTGGTGGAACTATTAAGCAAAAAACTGTAAGGAGGAAATTTATAGCAAAGCCCATATCTGAGATCATGAAGCAGAAGAGTATGCTGCAATTTTCCAGTGGTCTGAGACGCTCTGTAATTTGTTTTGAGGGAATAATAGAGAGAACAGAACAGGACTGAGCCTAAAATGACGTTCAAGTTTTGCTTTTCTGACTAATGAGTCCATGTAAAAAATGTTCATTCATGGTTCATTCAGTGTTCTTTCCACTTTTTCTTTTTCTTTTTCTTTTTCTTTCTAGTTTTCTCTTTTTTATTTTTAAATTCTCCAATCTACTTTTTCCCTCGAAAGAAAAAGATAGCTTTGCTTTCCTTTTACCAATTTGGAAAAAGAATCTTATAAGCATATGACACCAGCACCAACATTTAAAGCACACGCTTTATTGCTTTTGCTTCTTGTGTTTTGTGACTTTGTCATGTTTTCTTAGGGTGTGACTGAATACAAATATATTCGATGAACGAGTGTTTTTGGTAAATCCATTCTTAATATAATTTCAATACGTGCTGAGCTTAAATGGCTACTTCGCACACTTCAGAAATTTACTTGGCAACATTACATATTTCGGCTTTTGGTTCAGATACATTCACTAATTGTATAATATAAAATACTTAATAAATAGGATTTTTGTTTAATCCGATCTCCTCCAACTACGAAATCCTCTCTTAATATAATTTGAAACGTGCTGAGGGTCCCCTCTTAATATAATTTGAAAACGTGCTGAGCATAAATAGTTGTCTCGCCCTTCGGAAGCTTACTTGACAACATTACATGCTTCGGCTTTTTGTTCGGATACATTCCCTAATTTTTTAAAATAAAATCACGTGCTTTTGGTTCGGATACATTCCCTAATTATTCCAAATAAAATACTTAATAATATTCTTATCTTATATGCTGTGTAAATAGGATTTTTTGCATAATATTATAATAAAAATATACCAAAATAAAAATTCTAGCTTTATATATTATTTTATTTATATGATTAATGTAAACAATAACTTTTTTATATAGTTTAAATTAAAAAAATACTATAATTTTACAAAAATAAATTGGACACATATATAGCACTTGCATATTATATCTTTTCAATCTAACCATGATAAATAAATTTATAAAATACTATAATTTTACAAAAATAAATTGGGACACATATATAAAACTTACATATTATATCTTTTAAATACATGATCTTTCTAATATATTTTAAAGAGTTGAAATAAAAATAAAATAAATTTTGATGAACACCATGGTAAATAAATTACTTAAATCTTTTTAGAATATCTATAAAAATACATTGAAATAGTTATAGAATATTACATATCTTTCTAATATATTTTAAAGAGTTGAAATACTTACACAACAACATGTGTTTTTTTCTATTATTTTATATATTATATTTTTTTTTTCAAACAACTCGTGTAGTACACGGATGTCGTACTAGTAAATATAATTTCAAAACGTGTTGAGCCTAAATGGCTGCTTCGCACGCTTCGGAAACTTATTTGGCAACATTACATGCTTCGGCTTTTAGTTCGGATACATTCCCTAATTGTTTAAAATATAATACTTAATAAATAGGATTTTTGTTTGATTCGATCTCCTCCAACTCCAAAATAAATAGGATTCTTATCTTATATATGGTGTAAATAGAATTTTTTGCTCAATATTATAATAAAAAATTTAGACGTAACGAAATACCAAAATAAAAAATTTAGCTTTATATACTATTTTATTTATATAATTAATGTAAACAATAACTATTTTATATAATTTAAATTAAAAGAAATAGTATAATTCTACAAAAATAAATTGGACACATATATAGCCCCTTGCATATTATATCTTTTCAATCACACCATGGTAAATAAACTATTTAAATCCTTTTAGAATATTACATTGAAATAGTTATAGAATATTACATGATCTTTCTAATATATATTAAAGAGTTGAAATAGTTATACAATCGCATGTGTTTTTTCTATTATTTTATATTTTATATTTTTTTTTCAAACAACCCGCGTAGTACACGGGTGTCGTACTAGTGATACTTAATTTTAAAACAAGTTGTATGGTTAATTGTTAGTTGAATTTTGTATTTATAGAAAAATAATATTAAAAATAAAATAATTAAAGTTGATTTATGTAAAAATAGGAGAGACATAATATGAAGATATAGTTAGTTAAAATTATGTAAATTGGTGAATTGGCAAGGCGACCGATTTGTAATTTTTAAAGTTTTAATATATTAAACTTTAGGTCCTGGGTAAAATTATAATTTATAAAAGTTTAACTGCTGCAATTTGATAGTCTTTAATGTGTAATTCGTCTAATACTATCGTGCAATCACAGTGCAAATAATTTTTTTAATGACGAAATAATCAATTTATTCAATCGGTCAATTGAACTAACCCAAATTATTGAAATTATTTACAATTCATAGTATAAAAATATATTTAGTATTTTAATATTTTATATTATTTTTTGTTAAAAATAGATAATTTATAAAATACAGAAAGTGATAATGTGCATTCCTACATATAATAACGTGCAGTTCGTCTAACATTAATTTGCAATCTATTGAGCGAATATTTTTTATGTGCATTAACCAAAAAATAAAGTCAACCTCGAACTGGAATAACCAAAATTTTAAGAGTAACACAAGATAATTGAACCAAAATATAAGATTCGAACAAACGAATTTAATTCGGTCGATTTTTGGTCGCTATAGTGCAATCTGACAGTCACTAATGTGCAATTCATCAAACATTAATGTGCACTCCAAGTGCATATATTTTTTAATGATTTACCCAAACTAAAAATAAAACAAGATAATCGGTTTATTTGATTGGTTAACTGAATTATCCTAAATAATCTATAATTTATATTTTAAAATAATTTTAGTACTTTTGACGTTTAGTTAACATATTATATTATTTTTATTGTTGTAAAGACCTAAAATATACATATATAAAGAATAATATTTTTTTTCTATAGTTTGGTCGGTTTGGTTATTTTAAAAAATGAATCAACTTCGAACCAAATTAACTAAAATTTCGAATGTAACAACAAATAATCGAGCCAAGAATATAAAATTCGAACACAGGGATTTAGTTCGGTCAATTTTTTGGTCACTATAGTGCAATTGGCATTCACTAACGTACAATCAATCTAGAATTAATGTGCACTCAAAGTGTTGTTATTAATTTTTTCCAAACCATAGTAAAACCGATGTAATCGGTTTATTTGATATGTTAACTTAACTAACCTAAACAATTTATAATTTATATTATAAAAATATATTTAGTATTTTAATATTTTTATATAATAATTTATAAAATTTTTTGTTGTATATATATATATATATATATATATATGTATATAACAAAATAAATTATTTTTATATAGTTCGGTCGCTTCGATTATATTAAACAATAAAGTTGACATCGAACAGAGAAAAACAAAATTTTAAAACAAACAAAAATAATCAAACCATAATATAAAATTCGAACCTAACACTTTGTCTGACCCTTTCAACCACTATAGTGCAATCTGATAGTCACTAATGTGAAATTCGTCTAACACTAATGTTGTCGGGTTCTATCAGGAACGTAATCGATATGCACATTCGAATCTAACGAATTAAATCCTAACGCAGCGAAATCTATAGTTAGGATTAGAATATTATCGTTTAAAATTTTGCCGACTCTTGGACGCCGTAGATTCCCTTTGTAGGAGATCGTCGGAACCGCAAAGTTCTTTAGGCAGCCGGACTAGGCCTCCTTGGTTGATCACGTGTTGCCGGGATGCGGTCAGGTCACGCTCGGGCGTTGTCCGGGTGCACGTTGGGTTCTGCGAGCGTCGGGCAGCAGCAGCGTGCGGGTGCTGCGGTGTGGTCGAGTGCATCTGCAAGGTCGTGGTGTCGAGCACTACGGATAGGAACGCGCGTCGGCCGCTGCGGGTGACTCACCTTCGTATGCGTCTGGGAGCGGGCTTGCGGCATCAGGAACCTGGCGTGCGCGTGCTGCAACGTTGGCTACCGTGCGGTGCGTATGAAGGTTTCGACTTGCGCGGCAAGGCAGGGCGCGCGATGAACTCAGCATTCGGGTCAAGCGGCGGTGGCAGGGCGTCGTTGGAAGCGTGTAGCTGCAACTAGGCATCTCGCGGTGTTGTTGGGAAGGTCGCGGCACGGCGTGCGAGTGAGCGCGGCTGCAAGCGATTTACGGCAGCGGTGGCGGTTTCCGGTGGTCGTGAGGTTGCAAGAATATATATATATATATATATATATATATATATATATTTATGCTCTAATATATTGGACCTAAATGTCTTCTAATGTATGACCTTTACTCCTACTTCGAATAACCTTGGTGGTGCTATTAGTCGAAACTCCCAAACTCTCGATATATGATGTGCTCGATTTTCTTCTCTCTTGCAAGATCTTAAAATCGGCCAACTCACACATGTATGGAAAAGAGGTTGGGACATGGTGTTTTTGTAGACTACATTAGGGACCTTAAGGAGGTGCTAAATATGGGCTTATCCAATTAGGGTTATGAAACTTGTTTATTCTCCAAATCCTTTACCTTCTAGAAGACCTAATTCCTTCTAACACTAATTACCCCTTCTAGAAAACTCCCAAATCTCCTATCCTTTGGTAATATTCTAGAAAATATTCCTCTTCTTAGGAAATTAATTATTAGAGAATAAAATCTATTCCTACCTTATGATTGATTTAAATAATAAAACATTCCATTAGAGTAATTATTACTCTCCCCATTTAGTTCCAATGTATTCAATAACTTCGAACCTCCACTTAATTAATTAATATTAATTTAATTGATCGATTTACCATCCCTATGTTTAAGATATAACATCTATCAATTAAATAAATTACTGACAATAAAATTAATCGACTTCTTTTAATTCTGAAAGTAGTACCACTCAGTTCCTTATCATTATATCGGAAATTAATATTCCTACAGGGCTTAACATAATATTCACTCCTGAGCTCATTTCGGGGACATCATCAGTAAAGTGCACTGGGACATAGTGACCATAACTAATTGTAACAACACGTTATATAAACATCATCATTTACCTAAATACCGAGTATGTCATCTTAATAAAATAGAAATCACCCTTGGTAAATCAAATAAACAAGTAATGAGTAT